TCCTGCAGAACAGCTCCCTTGACAAAATCATTTTTAAAGATAGAGTGATTTGTTTTTTAAAAAAAGCAACATGGCTTTATGTAAACATAGGTCAAATTTGAGTACTTCTGTAGGGTTGAGTATTCTTAATCAACATACGATACTTTTTCAAAGTGCCGAATTGTGAGGAGGCCTCTTGCGGTAAAAAAGGATTTCCTAGTGGGTTTTTTAGTATCTTCCCCACTCTGATAAAGTAACGGCTAACCTTTATTGAGTACTAACTGCGTTATCTTAGTCTTCACAACCCTATGAGAACACGTAGGTACTATTATTATCTCAGGGCACAGATGGGAAAACACTTGGAGGTTTAAGAAGATGCCTACGATCATACAGCAGAGCTGGGATTTGACTTGAGGGCCCAAGCTTTTCAACCATTATGTCTCCTCTTCCTGTTAACCAGTGAAGTATATGGTAAAGATGGGAGCTTCCCCCAGCCCGATTCCCATTTGCCATCTCAATCAGCGTTCCGAGATAGTGTCTTGACAAGGGAAATGGGTTTGTGGCCATTGCCCAACTGAGCAGACTTCCAGGATTTTCTGCTGCCATGAACCTAATGTGTGTTTTCACTAAGGGGTAATCCAGACATGAGTGCTGTGAAAAAGGGGATCATTTGGCTCTCCCAGATACTATGTGACCATACTTTTTCCTTGCAGGTCAGACACATTCTGTGTGAAAAACATGGGAAAATCATGGAAGCCATGGAAAAGTTGAAGTCTGGAATGAGATTCAATGAAGTGGCCACACAGTATAGTGAAGATAAAGCCAGGCAAGGGGTATGGTGCTGTTGTCATTTGAAACTATCTCTCCCCGGGCTCCTGGGTGGTACAATCGGTGAAGTGTCCGACTCTTGGTTTCGGCTCAGGTCATGATCTCGGGGTCCTGGGATCGAGTCCCGTGTTGGGCTCCATGCTCAGTGCAAAGTCTGCTTGAGATTCTCCCTCCCCCTCTGCCCCTCCTACTTGTGCTCTCTCTCTCTCTCAGATAAACAAACCTTAAAAAAAAAAAAAAAAGATCTGGGGCGCCTAGGTGGCTCAGTCGGTTAAGCGGCTGCCTTCGGCTCAGGTCATGACCCCAGGGTCCTGGGATCGAGCCCCGCATCGGGCTCCCTGCTCTGCGGGAAGCCTGCTTCTCCCTCTCCCACTCCCCCTGCTTGTGTTCCCTCTCTCGCTGTGTCTCTCTCTGTCAAATAAATAAATCTTAAAAAAAAAAAAAAAAAAGATCTCTTCCCCATGGAGGACACACAGCAGTAGGGATTATTTCTACGTTCCGCCATTAAGTTTAGCCATATCTTGGCATAAAGATCTTAAAAGCAGAAATGTCCAACTTGTAAACAGTTGCGTACAGGTCACCTGTGTCTAAAACTAGGCGTTACCAAACTGGCACAGCTAACAGACACCTGGCAACATTGTGAGTGTGTATGTGTTCGGTCCAGGGTTGGAGCTCTTCCACCCATCTGTCCTTGGTGAGCCCACTTCTTTGCAGTCTGGCTGAATGAACCTAAGAACCTGAGCGTCTGTGTTGGGAAGTTCCCAAGCTACAGTAGAACTGTTTCCTCTTCAGGGCCACCTGACATCGCGTATCTTTTGGGTTTTTCAGGGCGACTTGGGTTGGATGACCAGAGGTTCCATGGTGGGACCATTTCAGGAAGCAGCATTTGCCTTGCCTGTGAGTGGGCTGGATAAGCCTGTGTTTACAGACCCTCCGGTTAAGACAAAATTTGGATATCATATTATTATGGTTGAAGGGAGAAAATAAAGTTGTATGAAAGACTGAATATGTTTTATACGTTCTGCTTGCTTCTTTAAAAGGTGTTGAGTAATCCTGTATGTTACGAACTCTGTCGTTATGGGTTTGTAGGCACAAAACGAAGTGGAGAAAGGTTGGCGTACACTGTAGCAGGTGTTCTCACAGGTAAGTCAAGCAGGGGCGCCCGGCTGGCTCAGTCGGTAGAGCGTGCGACTCCTGATCTCAGGGTCGTGAGTTCGAGCCCCACATTGGGCATAGAGTACTTAATAATTAAAAAAATGAGTCAAGCAGACTCCTTTTAACCTGAGTCTCTTCCTTCCCAGAACCACTCTCTCTAATTCTCAGCATATCCCATAAGTTAATTTAAAAACCATCTCCAGGGGTGCCTGGGTGGCTCAGTCGTTAAGCATCTGCCTTCAGCTCAGGTCATGATCTCAGGGTCCTGGGATCGAGTCCCGCGTTAAGCTCCCTGCTCAGCAGGAAGCCTGCTTCTCCCTCTCCCACTCCCCCTGCTTGTGTTCCCTCTCTCGCTGTGTCTCTCTCTGTCAAATAAATAAATAAAATCTTTTAAAAAAAATAAAAAATAAAAACCATCTCCAGGGGAGCCAAATACTAGTTCACACTATTCACACATTGAGTTGGACATCAAATAGATGGATTAGAATATGAAAATCATAAAATAAGTTCCTAGGCAACACTTGTTTTGTTAGCTAATTTGGATTTGCCAGGACAGTGATTAGCTCCATTGTCTTAATACCATACACTATATAATGGCCATTCAACATGAACTCTTTTGTTTTTTTTTTTTTAAGATTTTGTTTATTTGAGAGCGAGAGCACATAAGCAGGGGGGAGAGGAAGAAAATGGCTCCCTGCTGAGCTGGGAGCCCGACATGGGGCTCCATCCCAGGACCCCGGGACCATGACCTGAGCCAAAGGCAGACGCTTAACCGACGGAGCCACCCAGGCGCCCCCTGAACTCTTTTTTTAATGAACTTTTTAAAAATTTTTTTATTTAAATTCGATTTAGTTAACATATAGTGTATTATTAGTCTCAGCGGTAGAATTTAGTGACTGACTCATCAGTTGCATATAACACCCAGTGCTCATTCTATATAAAGTGCCTTCTTTAATGCCCATCACCAGTTATCCCATCCCCGCACTCACCTCCCCTCCAGCAACCCTCAGTTTGTTTCCTGTAGTTAAGACTCTCTTATGGTTTGCCTCCCTGTTTTTATTTTTCCTTCCCTTCCCCTGTGTTTCTTAAATTCCACATAGGAGTGAAATCAGTATGAACTCTATTTATTTATTTTATTTATTTTAAAGATTTTATTTATTTGAGACAGAGAGAACAAGAGACAGAGAGCATGAGAGGGAGGAGGGTCAGAGGGAGAAGCAGACTCCTTGCCGAGCAGAGAGCCCGATGCGGGACTCGATCCCGGGACTCCAGGATCATGACCTGAGCCGAAGGCAGTCGCTTAACCAACTGAGCCACCCAGGCGCCCCAGTATGAACTCTTTAAATAAACCTTTCTTGGAGGAAAAAAGGCAATCAGTTCTTTTACCAATTGTTTGTATTAGACTAAGCAGCCAGTGTTCTGTGTATCTGCATTTTAAAATTTTACAGTGCCATATTTATGACCTATTCGACAAGGAATATTTTAAGTACTAGACTGCTTCAAAAATAAAATTTTGCCAGGGGTGCCTGGGTGGCTCAGTTGGTTAAGCGTCCAGCTCCTGATCTTAGCTCAGGTCTTGATCTCAGGGTCCTGAGTTCAAGCCCTGCATCAGGTTCCACACTAGCCTGCCTTAAAAAAAAAATGTTTTTAAATAAAACTTGGCCAATAAAACCATGTGATTCTTAACAGTGATTCTTTTAACACCGTCTTCTCACTCAGCTGCATTTGACATGTAAGTTTCTTATTTTAGAGGAGTTTCTGGGCATCTCCAGTAGGTTATGCCTTCATGAGATTTTCCCCACTGAGCAGACTAATGAACGGGTACCCCAGTCCCTAAGTACAGATATATCAGTATGATATTGAGAGATGTTCAAAATAGTAGGCATAGGATGAAACTATTTTAAAAACCCCATTCCAAACTGTGTCTCTCGGGACGCCTGAGGGGCTCTGTCGGTTAGGCGTCTGCCTTCGGCTCAGGTCATGATCCCAGTGCCCTGGGGTCGAGCCCCGCATCGGGCTCCCTGCTCAACGGGAAGCCTGCTTCTCCCTCTCCCTCTCCCTCTGCCTGCCACTCCTGCTTGTGCTCTCTGTCAAATAATTAAGTAAAATCTTTAAAAAAAATAAATGAATAAAGTAAAATATGTAGGATTACAAAGGATACCAATTATACTGAAACAGTAATCAAAACACAGTTGACCCTTGAACAACACAGATTTGAACTATGGGTCCACTTATACAGATTTTTTTTTTGGTCAACAGTATAGTACTATAAACGTATTTTCCTTACAACTTTAACTTTTTCTCTAGCGTACTTTATTGTGGGAGTACAGTATATAATACAGATAACATGAAAAATATGCTAATCAACTGTTTATGTTATCAGTAAGGCTTCCAGTCAACAGTAGGCTATTAGTATTTATTCTTGAGGAGTCAAAAGTTGTAGGTAGATTTTCGACTGTGGGGAAGTTGGTACCCGACTCCCACATTGTTCAAGGGTTAACTAGGTTTTAAACTGTTTTATATACAATTCATATATTTATTTATTTGAAGATTTTATTTATTTGACAGAGAGAGAGAGCCAGAGAGCACAGCGAGGGGGAATGGCAGAGGGAGAAGCAGGCTCCCTGTGTAGGGAGCCCGATGCGGGACTCGATCCCAGGACCCCAGGATCATGACCTGAGCCGAAGGCAGACGCTTAACCAACTGAGCCACCCAAGCTCCCCCAATTGATATATTTAAATCATATATATTACACATTTTCTTGAATTGTGTGTGCTGTTCTAGCACATTACTGAACCTGAAGGTACAGTCATGGGAGTCCTCAATTTGTAGCCACGTTGGACAGAAGTGTGGATGACAGGGGTACCCAGTACCAGCAAGTGGCATCGAAAGCGAGGGCAGTTTTACAGGAATGAGCCCTTAAACTTGAGGAGTCTGACCCTAACTCCAGGTAGTGTCAGAACTGAGTTGAACTGTAGGACACCCAGTGACTCTGCAGAGAACCGGAGGGCTGTTTGGTCTGGAAAACCTCCACAGATTTGGGGTCCGAAGGGTTGTCAGTAAAAACGGCTCGGTACATTCAGTGCAGTAAAGACAGTTTATTATAATAAGGTTTCACAGGTAACACATGGTTTAAAAAAATCCATTTCACCCCTTACTATGTGATCTTGGGCAGGTCATAGTTCCCTCAACTAAAACAATGTAAATGCCGTCAACCTCAAAGGACTATGGTGAGGATTAAACAAAAAACCTATGTAGAGTACCCAGTACCCAGGACACAGTAGGTACTCCATAAATGCTAGTTCCCTGTCACGAGTACAGAGTGCTATACTGCACTTGAGGTTTCTGAGGGGCAACCAAACTCCTTTTCAGTCCGCCACCCAAAGACAACATGCCAGCCTGTGTCAGAACGCAGCTGGTGGTGAGTGAAGAATGGCAAATGGCCTCATGGACTCCGGAGTAGGGCGCCAGCGACAACAAGGCCTAGCCCCAGGGACCTGATCCCAGCCTTCTGCTGTACGTAGTAAGCTGAGGGCATACAGTAGCATGGGAATAAGCAAGTCTTAGATTTAGAATTCTAGTAAACTCCTGCTTAATTAAACTCAGGAGCTTCTGTATGCATTTGCTAGTATCATCTCAGCAAAAGAAAGTGAATGGAAAAGGAAACCCTTGAGAAAAGTAACTTTACTATTCTTACCTGGACGGTGATAGACAGAAGGAATCACTTCCAGAATAAAAATAAGGATAGCCAGATAACTTTACAGAAACTTTCCTAGATATGACAGTTAAGTGTATAGAGTTTGCCTAAAAGAAAAAGGTTAAGACTATTCAAGGAAAGCAGTATTAACCTAGTGTTCCGAATACCAGAATATATGTATGGAGGAGGGGGGTAGGAAGGAGTACGGGGTAAAGGCCGAATGTCCAAAACAGTTGAAAACAAAGCCTTGCTTTCTGAGAGCTCTCTCACCTCAAGCTTAAATGCTTCATGCTCCCGCAGAACCCAATTACAGGAATGAATGCATTCACACTTGGCGTTTCACTTTTAACCAACACACAAGTTCGAGTCTCAAGTTTTATTAAGCTGCTTATACAAACTTAAAGTCATGAGCATGACTTCAGGGTCGGCGCTCTTTATGTCAAGCGCTTTCACTAAGCAGTTTAAGGCCTCCTGTATTTGCCCACGCTCTTTCAGTTCCTTCCCACGACTTACAAGAGTCTCATAGTCATTCACAGCTTCCGCTGCCTCCTCCTGGGGATACTCAACCAACTGTCTGCCAGACAAAGGTTCAGGGTCCCTGGGAGGGGCCTCCGGAGCCCCAGGCCCAGTTAACCGGCTGGCCTCATTTTCTGAAGGCAGCGTTCCGCCAGGAGGCTCGTCTGTGCTCTCTGAGGCTTCACTACCGCTCTCCTCTGCTCCTTCCTCCAGATCACCTGCCTCAACCTCTGCTTCATTGCTCTGGTCAGGTCTTTCCTCCATATCCTCCACGTGGTCTAAAACCACATTGATGAGAGACCTCCTAGAAGCCAGGGATCTTCTAGGGTGGGCGGACTTATTTATACTATCAGGGATGTTCGGTGACAAGAACCTTCCCGGCGGACTGATGTCACTTTTGGGAGTTGAAGCATCAAACTGTTTCACAGGTAAGAACTGAAAGGGAGAGGTGGTAAGCGGATCTGTGCTTGAAGTATCTTTAAAAGTATCGTCTTCATCTTCACCATCTGAAACGATCCTTCTGGCTTTCCTTCTGCCTTTCACATTCCCGACTACTTCTTCTGGCTCGTCGTTGGTCTCCGAAAGATCCACACTGAGACATGCCTTGTCACGCTCAAGCTCTGCCTGAGAATTAGCTGTAGAACCACACAAGCTCTTTTCATTCTCAACGTGCTGCAAAGACTGCCTGGAAAGATTTTGTCCATTGTCTGCAGAGTCTTCCAAGAAAAGATTGAAATCACAGGCATACTGTGATGAGGAGGCTAAATGTTCCTCCTCCGACTTGGCCTCATTTGCTTGAGCATCCTGCAGTGCACTGTGGGATGCTGACAAGTCGTCATTGGCTATTTTAATTACAAATGCATTCGATTCTGTATTTTGATTTTCACTGGTCATGGGACTAATGGGCCAGGGATTGCAGTGAGGTACCATCTCATCATCCTTTGGTTGCTCTGGATTCAGCCCAAGATCAGCTCTGAGTGCTTTGCTAGGCAAATAGTTAAAATCTCCCAGAGGGTTCTCTTGCAGTGTCCCCTGCATGGGCCCCTCTCGCAATGCCTCTTTTTGTAGAGCCATTCCCAACGAGTCGGTCCAGATTTCATCTACACTCCCACACCCCTCAGGTAAAGTAGCTACAGAATCGGCATCAGATGTACTTCCGGGTGGGTGACTACCGTCTTGTGAGACGGTAACATTCATCTTTATATTGGAGACATCTTGATTCTCACTCTCTTCGGGCAGATCATCAATGATTACACTCGCCATTTGGGAACTGATTTCTTCTTCCTGGGTATGATAAGTAGGTAGAAGTGGGGAGGATCGAGGCTGTGGTTTATTCAGGTCAGGGCATTTCTTCGTTTGAGAAGGAAAGTGGGGTTCTCTCAGCCAGATCCCCTCATTTCCAGCTCTTTGTCTTTCTGCTAAGAGCTCTGTATTTTGAGACTCTAATTCAACAAGGAATTGAGCTTTCTGAACCCTCTGTTGAATATAGTGGGATTCTTCGATCACATCGAGCTCTTCTTTCACAGAGAGATCACGTGTGTACATCAAGTCATGGTCTGAGATTCCAGCTATCCCCAAAGAGTGCAGGTAGGCAATATGTTCATCTAGTATTTTATCAGATCTCCTCTGGGCAGCATGCAAAGACTGAAGCTGCAGCTGGGTTGCAGAGTGCTGAAAATCCTCAATTGTAAAGAGCTCTCTTAATTCTTGTTTCGTAAAATATCGGAAAGGGTTCTTCTTATCGCCCGTAGTTTGTCTTATTAGTGAGTCCTTGAAAACCTGTCTTCTGTATATTTTTTCCTCTACAGTCCCACAAGTAATCAGCCTATAAACTACAACATTTTCCTTCTGGCCAATTCGGTAAACTCTATCCACAGCTTGAGCATCAGTCGCAGGATTCCAGCTAGGGTCAAAAATGACCACTCTAGTGGCTGCAGTCAATGTTAAGCCAACACCACCTACTTGAGTGGTAAGCAGAAAAACAGAGTACTCTCTATTTTGCTGGAATAAGTTAATTCTTTTTTCTCGTTCCGCAAGATGAGTAACTGTTCCATCAATTCGCAGTATCTTAAAGTGCCGATTCTTTAGGAGGTGTTCGATGATGTTTAGAATTTGTCTTGACTGGGAAAACACCAGAGTTTGATGCCCTTCATCTCGCAGTCTCTTCAGCAGCTCTATCAGAAATATCATTTTTCCAGATTCTTCCATCAGTGCATCATCAGTGATCTGATCAATATGGTCCCCATCTGAGGAATCTTCCCCTTCCTTTTCACCTTGAACAGAGAATTTTACAGACCCTAAGTTTAACAAATGACAAGCCCGCGCAGACAGCAGCCTAGGATGATCACACAGCTTCTTTAAGACACCTAGCTCAGCCAGAGGTGAGCGTGTCTCCATTAACAATTCCTTGATATGATCTAGAGACACGAATTTCCTGTATATTTCTTCTTGTAAAGGCGTGAGACGTATCCAAATAATTAAATCATTTTTCCTGGAAAGGGAAGGCATTTCACAAATGGCATCAACATCTGGATTCTTTTCACTAAGTCTGACCTCTGGGGTGCTTGCCTTTTTCTTTTGTACCTCTTCTTTAGTCCTCCTGAGAAAATAGGGTTTTATGATTGCCATCAAGTTTTCAGATATTTTAAATCCTAAGGCTTTTTCCCCCGGGGTAGCATCCTTCTCTCTTGCTCTCGTAATAGGATTTTCATACTCCATCTTAAAAGTTTTTAATGTTCCTAGCAGGGACCCCTGACAAGCAAAATCAAACAGGGACCACAGTTCTCGTAAATTATTCTGGATCGGGGTTCCTGTGAGGAGGATGCGATTCCTGGCAGGGACAGCGCGAGCACATACTGCTGACTTAGTGGATGAGGTTTTTATTTTATGTGCTTCATCAAGGATGACATAGTCCCACACAAACTCTTGGCCATTCAAGCTTGAAAGTTGCTGCCAATTATTGATTAACATTTGGTATGTGGTGATGATGACGCCATTCCTTTGCTGAATCCGACTGAGGTTCCTGGTACGTTCATCCTTACTCGGACCATGAAAGGTTTTGACTCTCATTCCTGGGGTCCACTTAACAAATTCTTTTGTCCATGTGCTAATGAGATTGGTCGGCATGATCAGCAGCACATGATTCACAAGTGTAGCATCAAACATACCAGAAAGGAAAGCGATGATTTGAACAGTCTTCCCTAATCCCATATCATCTGCCAAGATGCCACCTTTTCTTCCATCCCTGTATAGGCTATAGAGGAAAGCGACACCTTCCTTCTGGTGCTCAAATAGTTGGTTGTGCAGGTCTCGATAAAGCAGCAGGCCAGAGTTGCACACATCTGTGAATTCATCATCTCCATGTTCTGCCAACTCCTCCAAGGCTTCCTGTATTTTTTGGATTCGGCTCATCACCTTTTCATTGGGAAAAATGTCCTTTGCCAAATTGAAAAGTTTAAACGCTTCTTCCAGATCCCCATTCTTAGTTGCTTCTTTGGCCTCTTTCACATATCTGTTAAAAAAAAAAAAAGAAAGAAAGAAAGAAAAGGGTAAAAAAGACATAGATATATATAGGGAGAGATCAGAGAGGAAGGAAACAGATTGAACATTCAATCTAAGAACACTTTAGGGTCCATTTTGGAATACAAACTGCAGTTGGGCTTTTAATATCCTCAATTCAGGATGGGAAAGATTAGCACAGAAGATGCCAATGAAAGCTGGCACCACTGAAGACACATACCCACCAGACACTGCCAGCGACACCTTCAGGCACCACTTGTGAGAAATGTACGTGCAAAGGTGACTGGTTCCATGGTATTTAAAAAAAATGCCACCCATAAGAAGTATGGAGTGATATTTTCTTGTAAAACCAACCAACCAGCCTATATCGTGGGATTGTGGAAACAGGAAGATACATGGGCACTTCTCAGTCCTTAGTTTTCTGGACCTCTGGGATGCATTTGACACTAATGATCACTCTCTCCTTAAAATTCCCTCCTTCCACTGGATTCCTCTAGATTCCTCCTGGTTTCCTCCCCCATCACTGGCCATTTCTTCTGTGTCCTTGGGCTCCTATTCTTCCCATAGGCCTGGGCCTTCTTCTCACTCCTTGTACTTTCTCCTCTGGCTTTCCACCCCCACCTAATGTGCTCATGAAATCACTCTCTCCATTCCAGGGCTTGCCCCCAGACTCCACATTCCAATTGCCCTCTGGATGTCTCCCCTTGAAAACATCTCATAAGCATCTCAAATTCAATTAATCCCAAATTAAACTCATTATTTCCCCTCTAAAAACATGTGTCTCCATTTATGTGGTAGTAAATGACACTACTATCAACTTAGCCATACAAGCAGAAATCTGAAGATCATCCTCGACTCCGATTCACATGAGTCATCCTTGACTTCTCCCCTCTTTTAATCACCCTCTCCCCCAGCCAGAGAATCCCCAAACCCTACTAACTTTATTTCCCAAGTATAACCTGTGTCTCCATCTCCACTACCACCACTGTGGTTCAGGTCACCATCACCTCTGGCCTGGGTAATGGCAACTTCCTACTCACTGGTCTCCTTACATCCACTCTTGGCCCCTCCAATACCTTCTCTATACAGTAGCCAGTGATGCTGTCTTAAAATGTAAAAGAAAAAAAAACGTAAAAGAAATCATGTCACTCCTCTGCTTAAAATTCTCCAGTGGTTTATGGTCAGATGATCCTGAAAGGATACCAAAATAATTCACTGAGGAAAGAAGAGTCTTTTCAACTGAATATCATATGCAAAAGAATGAAATTGGTCCCCTACCTTACACCATACACAAAAACTAATTCAAAATGGATCAAAGAACTAAACCTAAGAGCTAAAACTACAAAACCCTTAGAAGAAAATATTGGCATAAATCTTCATAACCTTGGATTTGGCAGTGGTTTTGCCAAACACACAAGGAACCAAAGGAAAAATAAATTGGGCCTCACCAAATGAAAAACTTGTGTTTCAAAGGATGCCATCAAGAAAGTGAAAAGACAACCCAAAGACGGAGAAAATATTTGCAAACCGTGTATCTGATAAAGAACTTGTACCTAGAACATATAAAGAGATATTACAACTCAATAATTAAAAGACAACACAGGGGCATCTGGGTGGCTCAGTCGGGTTAAGCATGTGACTCTTGATTTTGGCTCAGGTCATGATCTCAGGGTTGTGAGATTGAGCCCCGTGGTGGGCTCAGCAGGGAGTCTGCTTGAGATTCTCTCTCCCTCTGCCCCTCCCCCAGCTCATGCACACACTCTCTCTCTAAAATAAATAAATCTTTAAAAAAAGACAACACAGGGCGCCTGGGTGGCTCAGTTGGTTGGGCGACTGCCTTCAGCTCAGGTCATGATCCTGGAGTCCCAGGATCGAGTCCCACGTCGGGCTCCCTGCTCAGCAGGGAGTCTGCTTCTCCCTCTGACCCTCCCCCCTTTCATGTGCTCTCTCTCTCATTCTCTCTCTCAAATAAATAAATAAAATCTAAATTAGATTGATTTTCCCAGCACTTTAAAAAATAATAATAAAATAAAAAAAGAAAACACAATTTAAAAATGGACAAAGGATCTGAATAGACATTTCTCCAAAGAAGATCCACAAATGGCTAAAAAGCACATGACATAATGCTCAACATCATTAGTCACTGGGGAAATGCAAACCAAAACCACAATGAAATACCCACTTTATGCCCATTAGGATGACTAGAATCAAAAAGCAAGAAAATACCAAGTTAGTGACAATGTGGGAAAATTGGAACCCTCATAACACTGTTGGTGGGACTGTAAAATGGTGCAGCTGCTTTGGAAATCGGTTTGTCAGTTCCTCAAAGTTACACACGGAGGGACACCTGCAGTTCCCCTACGACGCCTTCCATCCGTACTCTACGCCCCAGCTGGATCAACTGTTTCACCTCAGGACCCCCTCATGTGTTCATCTCTATCCCTGCATTTAACACACTGTATTAAAATTATTACAAAACAATCTGTATTGCAAATGTATGAGACAACCTCACTGAAAGGGTAGAGGGAAAAGATGCTGACCTAATAACCTAGGGCATGAGTGAAGTCTGTAAGACTAAAAGCAAAAGAAACAACATGAGCACTGTACTCTAGTGGACAAAGTTGTTTCGCATGGGCTTTGGGCTAACAATTCTTTTTTTTTTTTTTTTTTTTTTTTTTTTTTATAATTTTTTTTTAAAGATTTTTTTTTATTTATTTATTTGAGAGAGAGAGTGAGAGAGAGAGAGAGCACGAGAGGGGGGAGGTCAGAGGGAGAAGCAGACTCCCTGTCGAGCAGGGAGCCCGATGCGGGACTCAATCCCGGGACTCCAGGATCATGACCTGAGCCGAAGGCAGTCGCTTAACCGACTGAGCCACCCAGGCGCCCTGGGCTAACAATTCTAACGTTGCAATGCATGTATAATAGAATTGAAGAATCGGGCACCTGGGGGGCTCAGCAGTTAAGCATCCGCTTTTGGCTCAGGTCATGATCCTGGGGTCCTGGGATCGAGTCCTGCGTCAGGCTCCCTGCTGGGGGGGGGGCGGGGGAGGGAGGGGGAGGGCAGGGGGGTCTGTTTCTCCCTCTCTCTGCCCCTCCCCCCCACTCATGCTTATGCATGCTCTCAATAAATAAATAAATAAATAAATAAATAAGAATTGAAGAATTAAGTAAATGAATGGTGGATAGTGGAAGCCAGGTTTCTCACCTGTTAGAATGGAGAAGCAAGAGGAGACAGAATGATCCATGTGCTAATGGATCAGAATTGGAGACATCAGTATAAACCCATGTTTTAACACAGATACAGATGGTTACACATAGAATATTTACAGTCATGTCTATAACGGAGATTAGTATACACACGTATTTCCTTGCTCTCTCAGGTGAGAGGGCCTAGAAGCAAGGAAACCCCAGTGCAACAAGCATAACTAGCGCCCAGATCTTGGTTTCTAATACCATTCTCCAGTAAGAGAACCTGGGCTGATTCTAGGACTGTGGCAGGAAGTACGTCAGAGGAGCCTGGGGCTTCTTGTAGTGTCAGAAAGTGAGGAAGTGCTTGCTCAAACAAACAACCCCCCACAGTGACGTGACTACGGCGAAGAGACACAGGAACCAAATGAAAGTGCTCCCAGTGGTCACAGCTGGAACAGTTGGAGCAATGAAATAAAGCAGTATTGGATGAGAACCCAAAGTATAAAATAAATGAGTCCATACTGATATAAATGAGTGAAGAAGTAAAGAAGAGACAAATCTCCCATGCAGAAGAATTTCAAATAATTTATGTAGCTACTCTGCCCTCAAGGAGATGGAGCATGACTCCTACTCCTTAAATGTGGAGTGCATACACCAACATCTCCCCAAAAGGCACAGTGTGGGGACACCCGGGAGGCTCAGTCGATTAAGCATCTGCCTTCGGCTCAGGTAGTGATCTCAGGGTCCTGGGATTGAGCCCTGCATCGGGCTCCTTGCTCAGCAGAAAGCCTGCTTCTCTCTCTTCTTCTGCCACTCCCTCTGCTTGTGCTCTCTCTCTCCTTGATAAATAAATAAATAAAATCTTTTTTTTTTTAAGATTTGTTATTTATTTATTTGACAGAGAGACACAGCAAGAGAGGGAACACAAGCATGGGGAGCAGGAGAGGGAGAAGCAGGCTTCCCGCCGAGCAGGGAGCCTGATGCGGGGCTCGATCCCAGGACCCCAGGATCATGACCTGAGCCGAAGGCAGATGCTTAACTACTGAGCCACCCAGGCGCCCCAATAAATAAAATCTTAAAAAAAAAAAAAAGAAGGTATAGTGTGGAAAGGCATGGTGGAGCAGAGAGAGGGGGAAAGGGGCACAACAAGTAACTTTAAAGAAGGGAAACCTGGCAAACAGTACCTCAGCCCAGTGATTACAGTCAACATCAACAATGACATATCACGTTAACAGTATGTGCCCCTGATAACAATTCGATGAGAAGGGCACTTTATCTCTGCAGTCTCTGCCCGCAAAACCAAAAAGCCCAGTCTAATCATGACAAACAATGACAAATCCCAATTGGCGGAACATTCTAGAAAATACCTAACCAACACTCCTCAAAACTGTCGAGGTCATCAAAAACAAAGAAAGTCCAAGAATCTGTCACAGACAAGAAGAACCTAAAGAGACAGATGACTAAATGTACTGTGGTGTCTTAGGATGCTGGAACAGAAAAAGGACTTACATAAAACTAGGGAAATCTAAATAAATGATAGAGTTAGTTAATAATCATGTATTGGTATTGGTTCACTGACTGTGAGTACTGTACCATACTAATATGAGATGTTAACAAGAGGGGAAACTAGGTGTGGTGTATGTGGGAACCCTCTGCACTGTATCTGCAATATTTCCACAAATCTAAAACTACTCTAAAATTACCTTTACTTGGGGCGCCTGGGTGGCTCAGTCAGTTAAGGGTCTGCCTTAGGCTCAGGTCATGATGCCAGGGTCCTGGGATCGAGCCCTGCTTTGGGCTCCC